TCAGGTGAGACTAGTTGCCATCGGTTTTTGGTGTGTTACTAAACCTTTTCCTACTGATAAACAGGCAATCCAACAATAAGACTACCTATTAAAATTGCTGTTCACTTGAAGTTGGTAGTCAACGCTTTGGAGATTTCACCTACACATCTAATACAAATCATTAGAGTATTTATTGCACAGGATAGGAGTGAGCGATAAGATAAACTACATATTTGTATTGTGCCCAAAATCACTTGAAATGAGAAGGTGACCAAAATAGGCACAGACACCGATCCAGCTTAGTCTGTTGCTACCTACCTAAACATTACATTGCCCTATTGCCACTGCAATGGGGATATAAGAAAGATGCAATGCGAAGACGAGAGCAGAAGAAAATGATCACGATAAGATATAACACTTGATCAGCCAGCGAGTTGGATAGCAGAATGCCTCAGACGCCTCAGACCCTCGTGACCTCAGCCCTATCGACCAGTGGCGACACCTGTGACGAGCAGACATTACCGCTGTCTGGTGTTTTGATTCACTGGCCATTCATAGCATCAAGGGCGTAAAAAGCAGAGGTCATATGCTGGATACGAGAGTATTTTCCTGCTTTGCTTGCTTTGTAATAGCTAAAACTCGCGTCTGGTAACCAGGTAAAACAGCATAATTACAGTAAATGTGAATGAGAAGTCAATAAATCAAAGCTTTTTTAAAGGAAAAAAGCAATTCTAAGAGATCCTGCATTGACGTTATGCCGTCACCGTCATGTCGTCAACTTTCGGGTCTGTTTGCGCCAGTATTCGCATATGCTCCACCTGAGACTGCCCGCCTTGGCCGAAATGGTACAAGCCTCCCCGCTATCGATATGACCAGAACTTCTTCACGGCAAATACAATCAGACCGATATGACCGCAATGATGCACATCGTTGCGGTCTAGGCGGGCTGACCGCCCACTGCTCATCAAAACTCGTTCACAAAGAACATGCGGAGTGACCATGACTATCCAAAAGCGGTATATGCCGCTCTCGAGTTCCTAGTCGCTCCCTCGGCATCCCGTACTTCCCTGAGACCAATGGCACGATCCTAGTGTTGGCTTGTCCGACAGCGGGATTGGCGCTACACGGAGATGGGAATCAGCGTCGGTAGGCTCCAACAAGGAGTGGTACCGCTGCACGACATACAGGTGGTGCGCAGGTCGCTTCTGACAGGTAGGATACCGTTTGGACAGGAGTGCACTTCCAACGATTCAAAGGGTGGTACTTTCCAGTTTCCAGATTCCGTGTACCATTCGACCTCTAGATTTTCAGAAACACATGGATGACAGAGCAATGATACTAACCGGTTTTCATCTCCTGCCGAGATCCGTTTAAAGACTCAATCTCTGTTTGGGTCTTCCGGGATTATAAAAACGTCAGTGGGTTTAGGAATAATCAAAAAAATACAGGCTTATTACATGGAGCTTTTGCCATGCACCAGCACAAACAACTCGTCTGCTGTTACATAACATGCGGATTGAGCGAGCGGTCGGATAAGCACAAAGCCACCCCCTGCTTCGCGTTTTATCAAAGGCGTATATCGTGAACCCTTCCAGGGAGCGAGTGCACCCAAAGACCAGCAAATGATGCACATTGAAACCTCCACATGCACCAGAAGACACAGCAGGCCACAAACCTTGCCTATCCAGCGTCGGCACGGTAGACAGTGGCCGCACATATACCAAGTCCCGATAACGACGTCACTCATTTTGAAGGGCAGGGCGGCAACCCAACCACACTCTCGCCGGCATGCTGCACAAAGCCCCAGCTACGAAGACTCCCGCCGCAGGAAGCAACACCCATGCAAAGCTGTTCCAGGGTCACGAACACAGGGGTATCTGGCACGGTACTAACCCAGTGTCATAAGTCACGGCCAGGGTCAGGTCGGGAATGATAGACACTTACCGGCCACGTTTGGTGTGTTCAGAAACTGGAACGAGTCTGTGCTGCCGGCCGTGCGATCATCGGAGTCCAGGTCTACCTCTCGTGGCTCTGCGACCGACGGGATGGACAGAGGAGTTAGCGGAGCTCGACTGGGCAGGGGCGAACAGAGTAAATATAAGCAGAAGAAACAAAACATGATGTCTTGTCTAAGGAAAGAAAATCCAAACTAAATCATCTCAAAGAACAATCTGGCATTTAAATGAACTACTCGTATTTCAATCCTCTACGTCATGAAACCACTCTCCTTCAAAAGCTCTAGTAAAGCAAGACCCCTGTACCTCCCCTGCCTTAAATACGGACCGGTCCCGCATCGCTCGCCGAGTCGCCCCCCTTACCGGGCGTGACGCTGTGGTAGAGGATCGTCTGCAGGCTCGGGTCAGACTCCTCCGCGCTGTACGACGCGGGACTCTCCTCCACACCATACACAGGCGGCGGGGGCGGTGGAGACGACTCCTGTTTGATCTCCGATGACTGCAGCGGCGGCGGCGGCGGCGGTGGAGGCGGGCCGGCCGTGTCTGAGGCCGGCCGCGGTCGTTTGGACGGTCGTGAGGAGGACTCGGCCGGCTGCTCGGTGTCCGAGGACTTCTCCCAGGCCCGGCGGCGAGCGGTGCCGGCGGACGACCGAGCAGAGTTGGAGACGGTCGACCCCGAGCCAGCCGGGGTATGGGGCAGCTGACCCTGGAATATAAACACGGTGATGGGGTTAGACGCCGGAAGGGAGTCTTCAGATGTGCGGTATAGCACGAGAATCGGTATTCCATTCATATTTCTTAGTAAAAAAAAAAAAACAGACATGGGACAGAGACAGGCCTGAATACCGAACTGCTCGAGTGAATCTGCCATGTTCAAGAATAGCCACGTATCTATCACAAACACGCCATCCATAAACTGTCTGATTCGTGTCCCAGCTCTAACTGTTGACAGTCCGACTGTCGGTTCAAACCAGCCGGCTGAATACCTACATCCCCATTACATTGCATGAGACAGATTACTGCCTAGCTCAAGCTAGCATTGCCGTTTGAGACCGGCCAGTCACCACCCCCATCTCAAGATTCTGAGCGATCTCAGATAACCAGTCATCCGACACCCCTGACATTGACTGTATGTGTGCCTCACTGACCGGCCCCACTACCGAGTACCGACCCCACCATCAACTAAACTGCTCTCTTTGCTTGTTGGGATTGCTGAGCACATCAATTAACAGATCATTATCCCCTCAAGACTTGTTCTCCCTTCTTGCATTCTTCATACCTTGCCATCCTCTTCGGTAAGCCCAGCTGAAGCATCTCGGCAGTCTTCAGAAAGGTGGCCAGGTCGGCCTGGCGTACGTTCACCTCTCCTTTGTATACAAACTCAATGGCCGACCACAGGTCGCGGTAGGAGACGTCCCGCAGCATAAACACTGGATGCTGGCAGGGGTTCTCCTGGGGGAGGAAAAAGTGATGTGAGATAGGCCACACAGTCGATGTGTCTAGCAGATGGGAAGAGGTCAGATAATAAACTTCACTGGAAGTGGGAGCACTTCCATCAATGGCCTGCTGGCAATAGGTTTGTCAAACAGATAGGTACACAAAAAGCAACAACATGCATAACACAGGAAATTGCATGACACAGATGGAGTTACTCCAATGTTCAGCATAAAAACATATATATTGTCACCTGATGCAAGAAAATATTAGTCAGAGACATGCACCACCCAATTCACATCAATAGCCGTTTTCAGACACTGCTCATTGGCTTACACTGACACACACCTTCAGCAGCTCACGGAAGAAGGGGCTGCATGCTGACAGCATCACCCTGTGCGCCTTGATCTTCTTGCCCTCACAGCATAGCGTCATGTCTAACAGCTCCTCATCCTGCCGCAGGCCCTCAAATGCAGCAGTCACGCTGCTCCGGTAGTCGTTCCACCGGAGGCAGAACTTCTGCAGGTCTGATGACTGTGGCATGATCTGCAGAAAACAGGGATCATCAATATCATGGAGGCCAACTACAAGTTGAAGACTCAAGTTTAATGAGACCACAAGTGCAAACATGACTTATTTCATTTGGCTTTCACATGTTCTATTACCTCTATACTATACCTATAAACTGGAAATGCAAATAGCTGGAATAGCAATCAATGGTGTATTCATCCCTTTCATACTTTTCCCTTATAGGTACCTACCTATTTGCAAATTTATGATTAATACCAAACTGAATTCTGAAACTCAAACTATGGAACTCAAACTAATGGAACAGTGAAACTGAAACGTAGACGAGCAAGAGGCATTCACTCAGTGAAACAAAGATTGAGATAACCTGAACGTGTAAAAGTCATTTTTAACTGTTTTTAATGGCACCTAGCTTGAAAAACCTTACCAATCAAATCAAATAACTAACCTACTTCAAAACACGCCCCAAAACAAAAATTGATAAAATTGATAACTGCGAGGCGAATATGGGATCAAGGTTTCACATAAATATGAGCGAAACTGACCCCACATTCCAATCGAGTCTAAAGAACTGCTGCCATATGCAGCGGAAATTATATGTAAAGTAATCTTGGAGGAAATCACCGTTTTATTAGTGAAGCATCCAGTACGCTAAATACGATGAAAATTGTTCAGACAGCACGCATGAAGAATGAAAGAATTTGTTGGTTCGTTCATCCAAAGACCAAATTTATTCATTGGCGCCATGGTTTCACAAGGAACATGCTCACTAAACAATAAGTATACCTCACGCAACCAGAAACAACGCGAGCACGATATCCCGACGCAATGTAAGAACGCCATGCACTCGATAATGTAAACAGTCACTTCATTCAACCAATGAAGACTCGTGACAAGCGAGACGAGACAGATGGAACTGGAAACCTTTTCATCCTCGCCCTGCCGTATAGCAGCTAGAAATGTATAAAGGAACATATCAGCTCAATATCATTCGAGAGTCGCATGGCGATCTTAAATGATGTCATACAGTACCATCCCGTGGACGAGGCTAGTTCATTAAATAAGCAGCATCAACCCTCCCTAATGAACCAGCCTTTTTCCAATAACGGCTAGATATGTACACAAGTCATATTCACATGACTAGAGGACTAGGCACGGTATTGTCACCGTTCCCCGGCAGGAAGGCGTTCTCAGCGTCTCCGCACGAGACTCCAGTCAGCCACGTCCGTCACCGCTTTCTCGGCCAAATATCGTCGACATTGCACACTGACGGCCAGTCCCGTGCCTGTGGCGGGGCCACCTGGGCTAACGGCAGCGGTGGGTGATGGCTCACACCAGCTGCCGCTGTCGTCACGTGACCTGATCGGGTCGCACGTGCTGCAGCTGGTCCAGGTGCATGGTGACGATGTGCCGGCCGGGAATCATGGCCAGACCGAGCGGGCGCGGCTCATCACGCGATCCGTCCTCTGAGAACAACACCGACGTAAGGTCCGTTACACTCCGCAAATATTAATCGGAATGTGTATGCCAAAATGCACAACAAATTAGATGGAAACTTCTGGTTACTATCATGTAAATGTTGGATAATGCATTTATTTTTATTTCTATGAGTCCCCAACGAAGGTTACATCAACGAGCAGCAAAATACTCTAGTGAGCATCAATCGATGTATAATATCTCGTCTATGGTAACAGCCAAAAACATATAAATATCGAAATGGCGCGATTATTCCAATTGAGACCGATCTCTAGAGCCCGCCCGCGCTCTACCGACCCGGTCATACCTCGGGGCGGCATGTGCTCCATGCAGTTGCCGAGGATGACGTTGGCGTCGCGATCCGTGCACCAGAAGACTCCCATCAGCGACCGTCCGTCCGTCATTACGACCCGCATCGTCTTGTTGAGGTAGGACTCGAGCAGCAGGCGGCCCGGAGACTGAGCAGGTGAAGCGGGGGGAGCAGGTCATTGAGCTGACATCTTAGAGACTATTTGCAATGCGAGGTCAAACAAATAAAAATACAAGAACTAGCCTGTGGCCAGTGTAGAAATCGCACCACTAAATCTCACTGAAGCTGTATGAAAGCAAATACTAGCTATCCTCAGGAAATACATTGGGAAAAATGTCTTTTTATTACCAAGTGACACTGTTTCTAATAATTTGGGGTAGCAATCAACTGCAGGAGGCATGAAATTCAAATCACTTAGGGAGCTGAAGACAATGATTTGATGTCAATTGCACCCAAACTGACAACTACCACAAGCATCCAACACTGTAGTATTGTAGGATGCAAAACAGTGGCCTACCTGGTTGGTTTTGTCCTCAACCTTTGGTTGTTGTCTTTGGTCTTCCTGCTGTTTTTCTGGGTCCAGCTCATCTGACTTCAAAGTCAAATCAACAAGATCTTTATAGAAATCTCCATTGGGAACTCTTCCAGATGACATATTGACTCTGTGGCAGTGGCAGACATATAACATCACATATAGCTATAGATATCATGCAATGCCAATTACTGCCAACTCCCAACAAATGACATTGTCAATTGTAATATTGCTCTCACCATAGGCGGCGGAACGGGGAGGGCACTGGGGCACAGTGCCCCCTTTGATTTTGGCATTTCAACATAAGCCCTATGGGCATTGCATGGAAAGAATGGGCCAAAAGTCGGCAGTGACCCCCCCCCCCTCCCCTTAATTGAAGGTGTTCCGCCATTACTGCTCCTCTCATTGTATCCCATGCATTGAGAAGGCTATGAAATCTACCAAGTACCAGTGCACGCCACACTATTGCATGTAGTCATTTGGTTTCAGTATATTCGTATATTCAGCGTATGTGAAGGAAATAGGAAAGGCGTATTGATAAGCGTAACATAACCTGAAACCCCAGTTTTGGAAGGGCAAGGCATGCCCTCATGATGACCGATTAAAGCATTTATGAATGTAACAGGGTGTAACATGAATCATGGTTATAAAAAGTAATTAAACGAATATCTGAATAATTAGCATTTCAATTTCAGTTCAATCAGTGGTCAGAGAAGATCCTGTTTAGTCTATCCGTAAGAATCTTGGTTTAGTCCGTTTAGTCTATATTATTGAAAGAGATAAAGGACACAAACTGTATTATTACGAATAATTTTCAGTCGTAGAATATTTAACAATAAAAAGAACTCAGTGGAATAGTGCACTTCATATCAGCAGACGTGCGCAATAGTTTGCCTTAGGCTCGTCGCGTACGTATTGATGAGGTAGGGAATTTCTGCTTCCAAATTTCCCGGTGTATAGCAAAATTGTTTACTCGCTCTTGTTCGAGTGCAATTTTCGGACTGCTCGGAACGGAACGCGCTATGGATAAAGGATAAAAGCGCTAAGGATAAAAGTTAGTATTTATGACATTTGATGCAAGCTGGATCCTGTGAATTCAACTTCGTGTAAAGGTCAGGTCAGGTCACCGACCTTGACATCTCGCCGGCCGAGGGGTGGCGGCTGGCGGGTGCCGTGCCGGGCGTGCCCCTATAGGATTTTTTTCGCGATAGCTACGAACACGCCGGCGAATGCGAGTAGAGCTGAAACTTCGTAGTTCGTATACCTGATTTTTTATCCAAGCCACAACTTTTGACACCAACCGCACTTTCAGGACAGGTCAGATCACTGACCTAGCTATTATGACCTCATTAGTGAGCCTGAGCGCACGTTTTCAGATGTCGCAACTTCGCAACGTCCTCAGTGCCAGGGAAACTTGCACGGGAAATGAAACTTGCAGGATGTAGTATCCTCCAGAGGTCTCACAACTTGTGGGTATATTTCGGATTTTTTTGAAAGGTCACATGAGGTCAGGTCAGTCACGTGACCTCACTATTACCACCTTTATGACCTCACCATGCCGCATGCGGGAAAATGAAAACTGCTATTTTAGCGCCGGGAACGATCTCAAACTATCTCCTCAAGCACACGGAATCGTGATTTCTTGCACTTCTTGCAAGGTCCGATGCTTCACTTTTGCATTGTTGACTTTGCGTGAGAGCATTGATGGCGTCACTTGGGTCATAAGAGTTTTTCGTCCATGACTCCCGATCAAATTGAGCTTAGCGAGTCGGAAAAGTCACTAATCGACTAGAAAGACCTGCCGAATCGAATGATATGCGACAACAGCCGACATGACCTCTTTCGACCGACTTCGAGACATGGGGGGGCTGACCTGACCCGGAGGTCAACACCTCAAGATGATCTCCACCGAACAAAAAGTATGCCGTTCGACGCGCATGAGCGACACGAACACGATTATGCCAAAATCGCGGCTCTGCGACTGTGTTTTGCGAATTTATTATGAAAAACTGAATCCGTGGCTTTGGCCACTTGAACTGACCTCAGTGGTCACCGATTAAACTGAGACCAGATACCAGTCGCTGCGTCTTGTAACGGCGCATACGTTTGTATTTCCGCGACGCTCTAGCTCCATCAGGGGCGAAAGGGCGAGGGGGGTAATACCAACTCCTTCCCCTTGGCCGGCGCGTATGCAGAAGACCAATAAGTCCGGCGAGAGTCAGAGGCGGATCCAGCTCAGAGTTGTTTTTGAGGGGCGGGGGGGCAAACCATAACAATTTATCGATTCTTTCCATGCACCGTCCATAGGCGTAATGTTAAAATTATGCTGTTTGGGGGGGGGGGCAATGCCCATTTTGTCCCCCCCCTGGATCCGCCACTGGCGAGAGTAAGACGTCATAAGCCTTTGCACGCCTGCACTCGGTCCTAGAACGTCGCTGCTTCGCAATGCCCTCGCCCCTCAGTACCAAATCACCAGATCTCTCACAAGAGATGAAACTTGGAACTTTGCCATCATCCCAGGCCGTCACAGCTTGCATATCTCGGATTTCCTAAGGGTCACCTAGGTATAGGGCCAGGGCGGGTGACTGGACTTCATATGACTGCTTTAACTAGGCTCCGTTTCGCTTCGCAGCATGGTGATTCGGGGGGGGGGGACGATACCATTAAACTGTGGGCTGAAGCTGTATTCGCTGTTGCTAGGTATAGAACCATCAGATCACCTCACCGGCACGTGAGTGATGCTCGTGAAACAACTGATCGAGCTCGGACTCGGACTCGGACTCGACCGTCGGGCCTCACCGACACATGGTCCCACATTTTGTGCTCTTCTGAGCGTCGGCCGGTCGAATGTCGCGGAAAAAAACGCTCGATAAATAAAGCACGCGTGATCAGCAAATCATGAAACGATTCAAATAATAACTTAGCGTATCACAGCCCGATCAACGTTTTATTAAATAGTTACTCAAATTCTTTTTTTTAATTGCACGGTCAGGATGAATTTAATGTCTAGGGAAATTTTGTTTTAGATTTCAATGAGGTGAGTAAAGAATCGATATATTTTACATCACTGGCCATTTCATTAGCGATAGCGTTTTCATTGATTGCTCCGACTGTCGGTTATATCACTCAGAGCTCTAACGCTGCCGCTCCACTAAGCAGCAGTTTCCCCGTGTCTCCCCGCGGGCTGAGGATGGCTTACGTGACGTCATCTCGTAACACCCGTTTTACACAGGCACGTGTCATGTGGAGCTCACGGCTCCAGATCGTCCGATCCGCCGGCCACGGAAAGGCCATGGAAAACCGGACGCGGGCGAAAAATGGCCATCACCGTCCGCAACATAGATTGGTATTGTTTCGTCAGCGAATGGCGACTTTTCAGTGTGAGGGAGCTAACGGGTTATTATCATACCTATGTACCCAGAGAATTTAGGTGACCGGGAAATGGAGATGCTGTTGGTTATGTCCCACGCGTAAACATAGTTAGCCTTTTACGGAGATAAACCGCATTCATACAGTCGCTCGTTGGTCTCAAGTGCTTCGGAAAAGGCAATGTATACGAGATTCGTGCAGAATGCTTATGCTCGTACAAAAAGGCCATAGTTTAGAAGCCTTGTAAGGCCGTCTTTCATTTTTAGTTACTCGAGAATAAATTGTACCGAAGGAATATTTCTAATTTGTCTGTGAGTATCGAAATCGAACATATTTTTACCTGAAGTGCTTTTTTCCTACAGCAACAGAAATATTTTAACCGGTTAAAGACCCATTGGATCCGTACTTGGCCGTCTTACCCCAAACTCGATGTCAGAAGCTCAGCACGATTTTTCTCTGTGGACATTTTGATGCAGGCAGAGCAAATCCGAAGTAAATGAACACTGGTGGCATATGAGTATACCACAAGTGATTACGAGTTTTCAACTATAGTGCTGCACACAACAACTTTACACAATACACTCTGGATGTTTCCGATGAAATGTATAAGTGTTTTCAAACAAATCTAAATAAAAGAATATTGACTGAACACAAAATCACCAGGCTGAAATGGTGGTGTGTGGTGAGAAAGGCAACTCTGATCCTAATTTTTCTCGCTCTTAGCGCTATTGGTTGGTCTGCAGAGGGGGTGCCCGTCTTACCTACCCTGGCCGTCTTACCTCACTTTCCCCTACCTCTCCCATCTTCGTCCTGCATACAAACAGGTAGGCCGTCAAAATTAATGAATTGACGTGTCAGAAGCAGGCCGGTTTAATCTTATTAACCCGCGCCCCACTGGGGGGGCTATTTATAGCCCCCCTCCCGTTTTTCTGCAATAACTTCCAAACCGCTTGACGTATCGACGCCAAACTTTCAGTAACTTCGGCTGCATCAATTTGACACCTTGTGTCAAAATTTGAACTTCGTAGCTACCATAGGTCGGCCGGAAATGACGTCAGAGTGACGTCATGTTCGGCCGATTTCGACGCAAAACATTGAACCACGGCAATCGCTCCCAAGAGCTCAGTTTTTAAGCTAGATCCAATTTCTTTGCATGAGAGGACTCAGAATAGACTGCGCTATCAAACTGCTATCTCGGATTTTCAAAATTTTGAAAATTTCGAAAATTTTATATATAAAACTCAAAATTTATATTTTACATTTTTTTTCAAAAACTTTTGACTTTTCGAAAAAGCCGGAATATATGTGATAGAACGCATTATTATGACTAACTCTAGCAAGTTTAGGCTAAATATCTTCAAAAATGGCCAAGTTATACGCATTATTGCAAAAAAAGTATCAATTATTAATTTTTCAAATCAATTTTTCAGCACGAATTTGACATCGTACGCCAATATAAATAGGACCATCGTGTTCCTGAGCTCAAACTGCATCTAAGAGACATCTTTTTTTGAAAAATTTTAACTTCAAAATTTGACCTTTTTTGACCTGAAAGTGACCTGACCTAAGCGAAATTTGACTCAAAATGACCTCGAATGACACAGACGACATCAAATTCGAAATGTTTGGCCTAAATGGACCATAAAACATGTGTCACGTGACCGACGGATGATATACTATTTTCGTGACCTGTGATGACCTGACCTTGACCTGAAAATCAAAGTACAGGTTTGGTACCCTCAGAGTATCTAGAGCATCTGTTCACGAGTGTGTGAACCAAAAATGAGCCTGATCTGACTTGTAAGACGGCGGCCAGAGCCCGAAATGTGAACAAGCCAAAAATGCTAATAATTTTTACTTTGACCTGACCTGTGACGTCATCAGTGACCTCGAGGTCAATGAAATTAGGTTTCGCTCGACAGTTTTTCCGGGGCTATCAGACGCCGTTTGAATTTTGACGATCGGCCCAGTAGTTTCGGAGTTAGGAGGGGGGCTATGAATAGCCCCCCCCCCCAGTAGGGCGTGTTATACGCAGACCCCAGTGGGGCGCGGGTTAAACGGCTCTTGTCCTCTAAAATATTAATAGGCGTCAAAAGTAACGGTATGAAATGTAACTTGGCCTTTATTATCAAGCTAATTCAAACAATTATTTAAATCATCTATGTACAATTAGATTGTAGGCTGATGATTAAAATCGAAGCCTATCTACCTACCTACCCACAGTAGGTAGGTAGGTAGATAGGTATATCACTCGCTCGTCACCAAAAAAATCGTCTTACTGGTTGTACTAATTCTAGTTTAATATCAGGGTTGAAATAACCTTACACTTCTGTTGGCCCATCGCGCGGCAAAGACACGACCTTTGCAATGTTCCGTGGTCAGTACCATATTTTGTTTTCATCCCATACATTTGATGTTTGCCGCTCTATAGTACGTAGGTGCCGTTGTTTTATTATCGGCCGTATTGTTCAGCGGACATATTGTATT